TCTGATCTGAGTGTTTGGAAGCTGGCTGTTAGAAGTGCCGTATAGTGATCAGCGTGAGCTATTGTAAGTTTTGCAACTGCTAGCAAACTTTGTGTACCGGACTGTTTGTATGATTATGGACTATATTATTTGGATTATCCCTTAACTGAAAGACGTTGATGACTGACTGGACTCTGATACCTGTATTTCCAGCAAAGTAAGTCTATTGAAACTGCAGTGTCTCTGTATGCTGGTTTGTGTGTTCTCCAACACCATTCTCACAACGCTTCTCTGAACGCACTCACTCTGCCAACGGGGAGCTTACCTAACACGAACACTAAGTACATTTTGCACAATACAGAATCCTTGGTTAGAGTCAGGTTTTCACTGCCTTTGTGTGTTGCATGAACCTAGCCTGCTTGGCTAGCTGACCATTCGAGGTATTATGGAAACCAGGAAAAGGAACCACTTTGGTAATCAGGTAAAGCATGTTGTGTGAATAGTCTTTCATTGAATTTAGCTTTTAAGAGAAATAATGCACAAATAATTTCACATTTCATTTTACTTTTTATTTTAAAAGGTGACTGCTTCTTACTTCAAAAGTGATTTAAAAGTCATTCATTTTTCTACTGTAGTTTGGAATGATAGTCCCACAGTGACTGATCAAAACCCTTGGGTAAAGCTGCAAAATGAGAACTGGGTTGATTTGAATAAATTTAATGTTCTCCAAATATTCTGAAGTGTGATTGAATCAAACCCAGTGTTAGATAATATGCAAACTCTTACTGTTTTCAGTAAAATAAATTAAACTCTTAAGACAGTCTTTAAAAGCTTATAACTATTTTGGCTCTGTGTTGTCATGTGATGATCACATGCTTCAGTATGAACCTCTCAAGAGAGGTGAGCTTTAATGCCTGCAGAAGAAGCTTTTTGCTAAACATGCAAAGCAGTTTCAAAATCTTGCATTCCTTTTTTACTACTAAGGTTATTTTAAACAGAAGCAAGGAGAGACGATATTAAAGGAAGAGCTTCATTGCCGATACTCGGTTTAGGAGTTTTTAAAGATCTTAAACTGCAAATATGATGGCTGAGCATTAAAATCTACTAGCCCTTAATATAGGTTATAGATGCTGATGGCTGTGCCTATTTCCAGAAGTAATAAGTGTTTTTTTTTCCAGTGCTGGAGAGATTGCTTCCAATTATCTCCCAGTTTCCTATCATATTTCTAAGTAATAATCATAATATGAAGATAAGATAAAATGTCTCCCTTTTTTCTCCTTAAGCAAAATAAACAGGCCAATTAACAGCAAAGAAAATAGCCTCTTAAAATAGAAGCTGCACGACAAATAGGTAAATTTTAAAAAATCTCAAAAAAAAAAAAGATCTTTATGGGGTAATAAGGGATAAAAAAGAACAAGTTTCAGAATCTTAGGTGTGATACCCTGATGGAAAAGTTAGAAGTGACAGCTTTGTTAGCAATCTGTTTATTTACAAATGTACAGGTTTGAAAGCAGTAGTCCACAAAGGTAGCATCAATTGCAAAAAATAAGCGTTTATGTAATATCCCCTTTTATGCAGGAGGCGCTTAAGAATCAGATCAATTCTTTTAATTTCCCAGTGATGTTATCGCTATAAATTCCAGAGTGCACAAACCCAAGACAAAGTCATGCAAAATAGCTTTTTAAATATGTAAGTGTCCTTCCCATACTTCCTAAAAGTATGGCTTATCCCATACTGTTTTATATAAGGCTATGCATTCCTACTTAGAGGTACTGTAAAAACCTATTGAATTTATTAGGACATACTTCCAATTATAGGGTTGCAGCTTGTAAGGGATTGCCTTTTCCTAATGATGTTTTTTTAATTTCACTTGGATGGTGAAAGTCCTAATAACTCCATGACCAATATAAAGAGCACACCAAGGATCATAACCCAATTGTGTGTTGATAGAATTTCAGTTTGAGGATCCTTTATTTCATTAGTTGCAGGAAAAAGTCTAAAACGTAAATGAGATTGGCTCTCTAAAATATTGTTCTGCTTACAAGCATGGAACAAATTTCTGGTAGCCTAGCAACTCTCATTAATTTCCATGTGATGACTAGGGAAAGAATAAGGTAAGGTTTCTTTCTCTTGCACTATGAAAAAACATTAAAACTTTATGGCTGATCTACAAAAACATAATTATCATTTCTGGGTCCTTCTCCTATAGCGGTGACAACAGTAGCCCACCATAGTTCAAGAAGTCCTCACTTTCACGCTATAATTGGGACCAGCAACATTGTTGCTAAGTGATGCAAACATGAAACATAATTTGACTCCCATCCTTTTGTAAAATGAGACATGTGATCCAGAGGTGGGTTCCTACCAGTTCGCACCTATTCGGTAGAACCAGTTCGTCAAATCTACCGAACTGGTTAGAAGAGGTTCCACCAGTGGACCTGGAAAAAGCAGGCCACACCTACAGAAGAGGTTCCAAAATTTTTTTGAAACCCACCACTGGTCCTTGGATATGATTATGTTTTTATGTTTGTTTATTAGTCGTATGCGTAGAATTTCTCCTTATTTTCGG